ATTAAAACAGTGTGTAGAAATGAGTCTGTATTGTGCTCGAATACATTAATCTAAATAGAAATAAACAGCTCACTATTCGTAGCAATTTACTGCTATATGTAATAGACTGGATGCTGTTCTGGCTTATAAAGGCTTATTTTTATGACTTCATTTTTTTCAGCCACGGCGTGTATACCAGCAGATATTGTTCATCGTTGGCACTAAACCATGGAGTGCTGCTTGTTGGCTATGGTACGGAGGATGGTCTGCCTTACTGGTTAGTGAAGAACAGCTGGGGTCGCTCCTGGGGTGATGACGGATACATAAAAATGGCCCGCAACGAACATAACATGTGCGGCATCGCATCGCTCGCCAGTTTCCCCATTGTTTAATTGTGTGGGTGCTGGGAATAAACGTCTTCAGGTTCTCAAATATCTTATTCCCTTTAATTATGAATCTGCTATCTTCGACTTGCTTGTAATTTGTCCTACCTGTCGTAAAAGCTAACCTGCAATAAATAAAGATGACGGAAGCGCAGACTAATCGCGATGCCTGTCGGAAAGTCGAAGAAGTTCATAACTGATACCTTTTAGATATATGCATTATGACAGCCTAATTTTCTAACACTTATGACTGCTACTGTTGGAGTTGATTCCCTCCTGTCCCCTATCACTGCTGCCCGCTTTTCGTTGAAGGTTTATCGCTGACGATGGACTCCGCAAGAGCCTGAAAGCTCAGATGAATAAAGTTACGATTCCGGTGAGCGAATCGCCTTCTTCTTCTTCTTCTTCTTCTTCTTCTAGATTTCTCATACTGCCGCATAACTAGGACTAAAATGGAATCAAAAAGTAAACTCTCTTGAATCAAGATTTCAGAAGACACACCCAAGAAACCGCTTAAAGTCATCACTTGCAACCCATTTCATGCCAATAATGTTGTACTAGTCAAAAGTTATCAAAATCGCTCAGTGTATACAATAAGATGACAGGTACCTTCCTTGACTGTCCATAGGACTAAACACTTAAACGAACGTACGGATTGGCGGTATTAATTCACGCGCCCTTTACGATGCTTCTTGACACAAATGCTATTAACTGTATACGATCCAAACAGTACTTGTGCTCAGAACACGATGAGTATCAAGTCGAATCTGGGTTTTTGGAAAAACGCAAAGGTACCCGAATTAGGGTCCCATTATGGACAGAATTCGGCACTGCTGCCTCCGGCAACAGAGTACCTATGTTGACTGTGTCCTGTCACGCCTAAGTGATAGTGAGACGGTGTTGACAGCTGTTTTTATGATTTTCGAGCAATTTCCAATTGGTGCGAGCCAGACTGGTATGAGGAAGTTGACTGTCGGACTACTGCACGTCTGGCCGCGAGGGGACCGGATCCGAAGTGTATCAGCGCAGGACTCATCACAAGCGTCTACAGCGGTCTTTATGTGATTCAGTCTTTAAAAGCGATTGGTTAACTGGAGGGCAATACAGTCGTTCGCATGTCCGCATTCACTTGCCACCACAAGATTTTAAGCGTTGGAGCAGTTTGCGGCACTTGTGATTTGCTGTCCCATGGGCCACCAGGATTACCATCACAATTCTTCATGGGTGACGTGACGCGGGAGAAGGAAAGGCGTTTTGGGGCTCCTAAAGGCTAGTGAGCCAGAAATGGCCATT